AAAAAAAAAAAAAAAGAAGAACAAAAACTCCACTAATTTATGCAAGTTCATTAGAAGACCCCCTCAGTTTTAAAGAGCGATCTGAGAGGAAATTGTAAGCCAGTAGCGAGAGAAGTTTAATCTAATTAATTTTTAAATACACAACAAACTTACTTGAATTAAAGCAGACAGCTTGTATTTTGCTGATTTTTCCAACAAAGTTAAACCGACTCGGGCATAGAAGTTTCTCGTGTAGACTGCTAACATGACATTCTGCTACTTCTTCACAATTTTGAGTAAAAGTTGCACATACGCTCTGCCAAAGTTGGAAGAAGTACCTCAAAAATTACTCTATTTCTATAATTACAAATAATTCCCAAAGCAGTGGATTTCCACAAGAGCCCAAGAAAACTTCAAACTAGTAGGGTTGACTGGTTTAAAAAGCGACAACTGTTTACTGGAAATATGGAACCATTCAAGCAACTATGGTGAACCTAATGAACCCATATCAAATGAAATAGGCCAAGCATCCAACAATGATCAAAAAGGAATTTCAGAAATCGCCATAGCATCTGGCGCATTGTTAAAGCAAGTACGAATATTATCTCCACAATAACATTCACCCGTTGTGATGTTACTAACCTGACCTCCCACTTTTTTCTTCCATTCCCGCTGCAGAAACCCCTTCATGAACAGTTATATTTTGAAAGTTTAACTATATCCTAACCCGCGCGATAATTCCTGTAGCACAATACCATATCAACGCAACTTGGCGTGCTTAAGTGTCAGGAAAGACGCCATGCTTTCTTGTTACAATCGACTCTAATTCACAAGCTGATGGCCAAACTGGCCAGGACCGAAGACAGGAAAAACCTCCAGCACTTATGGAGCCATAACCTCAAAACAATCCTTAACTGCACTTGTAGCCCCACCACCCATCCTCATAAGCTCCAAATCATGGAGTCACAGCACGAATTTACAACTGCGCTGCCTACACCGTACCATCCCACAGCCTTAACAAAAGCTACAGATGTCTCTCAACTCACAGCAGAAGTCCACACGTAACACGTCATTACAACCCTGACAAAAACCAACCCCTTCATCTTCACCCATATCCCAGACACCAACATGGCGACCAATAACAGTCCACTGCGGCCAACTACACCCAGCCCAAACTACTACACAATTCATTCTACTACAACTGCCCCACTGTATCAACCAAAAAAGCTACCAACGCCAACCCAAAAGAGAAATATAAATCCAACCCCAACTAAAAACTGTCCACATAATCCCACTAGTACCCAAATGCACCTGTAACTGCTACTTAGTCTTGCGGAGGAAAGTTTGAGGTTTATTAATAACAATGTATCTTGCGGACCACAGTCCGGTAAAAGGGATTTTGAATTGTAAGAAAAACAAAGAACAAAAACTGAACCGAGCAGTTATGGGAGATATGCTCCGAAACTGTTAAAAGAACTTCAAAATATAAATTAACGGCTCCAAGGCCTTGGAAACAACGATATAACTTAAAAAGGAGATGCGTAAACATCAAATATAGGAAGAACAAATTACAGTCACTGATAAAAGTTAAAGCATCGTTTCAAGGCGAGAGCTAAAAGCAATCTAATTATTTCTCATAAAAGACTTAATACGTCAAAAACAAATCCATCAGTTCGAAGCATTAACTTTACCAGCACCAAAGCTCAATTAAAACATAAGATCGACAACGAGAAAGTATGCTTGAAACTACACGGGACGACCGCAAAACAAAGTCCGACTCGGCGGTGCCACTGATCAACGGGTAAAAATCAACTTATAAAATAGTGCTCAAAAGTGAAGATGTGATGTTTCATTTCCTTAGTGACGGCCGCCCTGTACGAAACCTGCAGGTGCTCCATACCCTCCTCGCCCACCGTAACCACCTCGACGACCGTAACCACGTCCACGCCCTCGAAGCAGACCCATGCGACGTGCTGGGTCAATACGACGCCAGACGTATTTCTTGAGGTCATTATAACGTTTT